ACAGCACAGTGCAGGAGAAACGGGTGTGTGTGTGTGTGTGTGTTCATATGCATGCGTTGTTTGTTTATGTATCTTAACTCTGTATATGCTAAATCTGTTTCACTATTAGCACTCTTCTGTCCTGTCATGGAGTTCTCCTGAGCATACAATGGTTTCATACCGGTAAGTGTCTTAATATATACTTTATATTGTATTTATATAATAGTATACAATAACTCATGCAAAAGACTGGACACACCTATCATTTGTTTTTTGTTTTTTTGTTACCAATGCAAGATATAGCAAATGCCAAATGAAAATGAAACATTTTCAGTATTAATAATAAACCGCGGACAAATATTCCAGACAGTTATGCTTAATAAATTGAGAGAAGCAGAAATCGTGATCACGATCAAAATATGATTCATTGTGTATGACATTGTGTATAATATCATCAAAACTATGATGTTACACAAATGGGAACATGGGAATTGTGTAGTGAAATTTCAGTTCACCTGTTGAAAAAAAAAAAACTTTCTTAACATTTAACTTGTAGTTTTGGAAAGAATTTCAAATGTAGGCCCAATCTATATTTATATGTGTCCACAAAATTAATGTAAAGCATTTGTGCAGAAGCTTTTGATGAAAAGGATCATGAGTCCGTTCTGCAAGATATTTGGAGAGATTTTTGGGTGAACTATTCCTTTAAATGTCATAAGCAAAATAATAAGCAAGCTGTACTTTTTTGCTAACACTTTTGAAGGATCATCAGAAGCATAAAACTGTATATTATAAGAAAATATATTGGCAAATTCAACAAATCGTTTGTTCAAAATGAATATTAACTGACTCCACCTACTGGACTGGAGTGTGTAGTGCTGAATGGTGCACAGGAGAACATGGACTAATGTCACCATCAGTGTTGGAAACGTTGAGTTCTACTATAAGGTTAACCCCGCCTGGTTTAAATGTTTGAAAATGATTCAAGTCTCCATGATAACAAAATTGAAGTTTTTAGTTTTTTAGTATGAAAAGCTAGTGTGCTCCAAAACAATGACAAAATTCGCACTTCGGCTTTTCATCAAACATTCTGTCCAATCAGATGCTCTCTAGAACCCGAAGCGTCCCGCCCCCTCCACTATAAATAGACGCTGAAACTGCGGCTGAAATCGGTCACTTGTTCACAGAATTAGTATTTTGTGTATGCTGAATGGCACGTAGTGCACTGCACTATATAGGGATATGGAAGGTTAACCTTACAGTAGTACTCAACACTGATTACACTCACAATCCTTCATCACTTGAATTAAGATCACAGTAATTTCATTTTAAAGCATAGTGACCACAAAATCAGACTTTAGCACCTCTTTTTACTTTGAGATCGTTCACACAGTAAATCTTAAAAAATAAATATACATAAACCCAATTAGGAAATAAAACAGTCATTGAATAAGCATGTGTCCTATCCTGTGTCCACATTGGTGTCTCATATTTTAGAGCAGTCAGTACAATTTGGGAAAGAAATCAAATACATTTGTGATCATGGGTCATCATGGGTTAGGTCACTGGGACGGGACAGTGCTGTTTGTTGTAACGGAGCAGTAAATCCTGTTCCATGTGCTCATCACTCATTTCGAGATGAGCTCAAAAAATTGTCTCCATGACTAAAAAGATGCTCCACTGGAGGACAATGTGGTGTTGTACATGATAACACGCCTCTTAACTCTGGGAAATGCCTTAGGAGACCTCAGGTTGTTATCTGAATCGGACTTTATCACGAGTTGTGCTGTCTCAGTTACTCCCCAACACTGGTTACCATTTACATGTACAAATGCTGAAAGGGACAGTTCATCCAACAATTTTAATACTATCATCCTTATTCACCCTTGTGCCACTACAAACCTGTATGTATTATTTTTCTTTACTTCTGCAGAACAAAAAAGAAGGTATTTTTGGAATTTTCAACTATCCCTTTAAATATCAGGTTGTTTTTCACCAATTGATGCAATAATCAGAAAGCTAGTAGTTTTTTGCTCACACCTTTTTAAGCATAAAAGTGAGTCTTGAGTGTGTGGCCATTGCATTTAATTCACCCAACAAACTATTCTTCTTTTGTATTTCTTTCCATCAAGACCACAATCATGTCCACAACACAGAAGTGCTGGTCACTCTTTTGCATCCATATCCATGTTTATTGTATTTGAATGGAAAACAGTATGGGAACAGTCTTCAAAATTCAAAACAGTCATACAAATTTGGAATGGAGCTATTAATTTAACATAGCACTTGAACACTTTTCAAGGCTAAATGTATTCTCTTACACAGGTCTCTCTCTGTCTTTCAGGACGTTCCAGCCCTTCTATCCTTTGCTGCACGTCTCTCAGTGTTCTGGTGTTCATCTCTGGGCTCTCTGGGCCATACAATTTGTCTGCCGTCAAAACGGTAAGAAAAAAGCCAGAGAGACGTGCTGCTTGAGATACATAGCAAATCCCTGTTATATTTGCTGTTGCTTTTCACAGATCTAAGTAAAAAAAGTAAGTAATGATAATGGTGTAATGTAGTTCGCAGTGTAATTAATCACATTCTGTTGTTGTAGCCCCTCAGTACTGTAATGTGCTTCAGAGTGAAGGAGGAACAGACATACTGAGGGTCCTGAGCTCACATCCAGACACCCACAGTGATGTAAAGAGTCTGACCGAAAACATCCTGAAGATCCTGGAGCGAAATTTTCATCCCACAAGCTCAGGTACAAAATGTGCTAACTTTATCAGCGTTTCATAAAGCAGGTTAAATAAATTACAACACTGCTACGATCATTTCTTGTTAATGTTGCTCTGTGCTACGTATCAGATTGATAATGAATCGCTTAAAGGTGCTGTATGTCATTTTTTGACTTTACTAAAGCATAAAAATACCATAATATGTTTGCACGTATTTAGGAAACATGCTAGGTTTACATACTTGTTCCCTGAAAAACAAAGCTACACGCAGTTATTCTGCTTTGAAATGTGAGTTCTGTGTCAGAATGTCTGTTTTTTTTTGTTTTTTTTGGTCTGTGTGGTTCCACCCACTGCCAGTTTACCCAATAGTATTTCAACACCCTGGGTTGCCTTTTAGTGGAAAACACAACATATTGCAGCCATGGAAGCCAGCAAACTACCTGACCTAAAAAGCCTCGGCATCCATCTAAAAAGCTCTATGAGCAGAAGCATATTAAAACACGGATAAATCAACTCATCAACTTACGATGTAATGCTCGTCGCCTTCCATCGTCAGTTGCACTCATTTCTGTTGCACGTCCTCAATCTGGCAACCCGTGTGAGGATCGAGCCTGAGGAGGAGGGGGAGGGTCAAACAACACTCCAATATTTTGAATTTGGATTGCATTCCCCATTTCAACCGCTTGCTGTCAATATTACATACTGCACCTTTAAGCAATAACTCTAAAATATCTGTATTTTCATTATTTCAGAACACTGATTTTCTTGTTTGGTCTATGCTTTTTCTAGTGGAGGATTTTCATTGACGTCACAGAAAAGCTATGGATTCGTAAAGGGATGTGCCATTTCAGGGAGACATTTCAGAACATTTTAGATTCAACAAAAGAGCACAAGCACTTTGCTTGGTCATTAAAACATTTATTTTGCTTAAATTAAGAGAAATAATGTTTGTTTTTTTTCAGTTTGTTATTAAAGTGTGTAATTTGTGAAAAAGCGATTGTTTTCAAATAGATTCCACAAACACTCTTGTTATTGGTCAGACAAACACATAGTCCTGCCCCAGACTCACCCCATTGATGGAGCCAGTCTTGCTGTGTAGGGTTGGCCAGGATGCTCAAACAGAGCAATTGAAAAGCACCGCATATATTTCGGTGAGTTTCAAATTCTTCGATACTCAAAAAATCATGTTTCTGGATGAAGAACTACTACTCTCGAAGAGAGATCCACCAATCAGACAAATAGCTGTTACCATGGAAACAGGAATTATGACAAGACAACTTCAGAGGCTGCATACTTCGAAGGCTGCATTAGAGGACCAAGGCAACAAAAGCTGTCCCATTTCGAAGTTTCCTTCAAATGCGGCTACTTATGATCTTGTTTTTCAACAGCCTGTCTCCATTCACTTCTATTGAATGGAAGAGAGCAGCTTGGAAATATGGCTGTGTGACAACATGAGGATGAGTAAATAATTAGAGAACTTTCATTTGAGTGAACTATGCCTTTCCCTTTTTAATCAGTGCATTGAATTTACATGATCAGAAGCACTAATGTGTTTTTACACCCGTAGTAAAGACATCTTACCCGGAATGATTTGATGCGTATCAACAAACAACCAATAATCCACCAAACCCTTTGAATCCACACTGTGCTTGTTGCATCTCGGTGTCCTATCAGACAAAATAGATGCACAAAAGTGCCTCCTTAATCTAATTTCAGATGGATTTTAATGATCTACAGCAAAATGGTGATATCTAAGCAAATATTTAATTACTACAATACTAATTTCTTGCTAGAAATGAAATCAAACGATGGAAAAACATTTACACACAAACTGACCACCAACCGCAACTTCCAGACGTCATTTTATTTTTTTAACTCATCGGTTACAGAATCAAACGCACAGGATTGTGGGATATCATAGGCAGCAAAGGATACATCTATGCTGTCTTCAGAAATCGATCAGATGAACGTCAATATAGACAGAATGTGACACGATCACTGGATTCAGACGTGCCTTGTTGCCTTCCTTCCTCCTTATGCTGCCCGCGGACGCAGCCTGTGTCAGCTGGCTCTTGATCTTGATTTTTTTACCTCTGTCACTCAGTCAAAATGATTGTCACTTCACTTTCTGATGCAGTTCCCTGTCGGTACTCCTTATAGGATTGGACTTTATGCTCAAGTATTTCGCAACCCCCCTTACCCACTTTGTCCTGGTTTAAATTCTTCCTCGGGCACGACAACATTTGGTCTGTCCTTCCTCCATTTGACACAGCGCTGGCAGAGCACTATCACCATGCCAGCTGCCCATGCCAATACCGTACCTACTCCAAAGATGACAAAACCTATAGCCACAAAGAAGAGGTAGTCCTGGTGAGCCAGTCCTGGATGGCACTGTCTTCTCAGCCAAAGGCCCAACTCTGAGAGACGCTGCCCCTGTAAGTATGAAGGACCCTCACACACTGTCTGTCCCTCTTCTAGTCCCATAAAACACAAGAAAAAAGACTGCATTTGTATTGCTGGTACATGTGTAGAAACTTTATAAACATGACAGTCTTATATCATAACCACAGACATAAAATTGCACAACAATTTTACGATTTTTACAAGTACTAAATTTAATTTACAGAGGTGCATACTCCCCCTTTTAAATAAAAAGTTGAGAAATTCTTTGAAATTTCAAATTACACATGAACCACATCTATATATATACATACATATATATATATATATATATATATATATATATATATATATGAAAA